ACCACCCAGTGAGAAGGAAAAATGAGTGAGATGTTTTTCCATTACAGAAAAATGCTTCTTGACTTTAGTTGACACCAACATTGCAAAAACTGTCCCCCAAAATCACCAAAATAACATTAAGATAAATTTTTACTATATTTGAGGTAGAAGGGTCAAGTCTGGAAGTCTTCTTTTTTTTTTTTTTTTTCAATTAGCTGCTGAAATTCACACATGTCTGGATACAAAAATGATGTCTTAGATGGGGGTCTTTGAGAGCGAAATCAATATTTGTCCTTCAAAGGACAGTGAGAATCTGTAATGCAGAGAAGAAAGAATTAAGGCTTTAGAATCTCACAAACCTGAGTGCAAATTCTGATGCTGTGTGAACTTTATCTCTCCGATCTATTTTTTTCTCATCTGTAAAATAGGTATCACAGTACCAACTATCTTATTCATTGTTATGCAGATTAAGTAAAAATAAAGCAGATGTGAGAATAGAATCACAGCTGTTTGATAACGATGCTGGTGATGGGGGTGGGCTTTTTGTGCCGTGAAGGCTGAGTGGATGGTGGTCAGACAGGCGTCATTAAAGACAGCAGAAACCCTCACACTTCCATTGTGGCTCCTCACATTCCCTCCAGTGACATCCATGACCATCTTCTCAGGTAGCAATTTGGTGTTCTTTTTGATATCTCTGGCTCCAGATTTGTATATCTACTGCTGCCGGACTTACATTTCTGCTTTATAAATTAATTTTCCTCCCTTGAGAGGGAACTGAACCATCCACAGTGTCCATGAAGTCACACCTACAAGGTCCTTTTAGCTCCCTGCTTGCCATGTGTGCGAGGATTTTTCCATAGTCTTCTCTATTAACAATTCTTGCCTCTCCAGAGAATACATATATGTAAAATACACATAATTTATGAAGAAATGCATATATACACATTAAATATAATTTGTTTCTTTTTTCAATCCATTGAACAATTATCTGGAAAGTGCCTACTATGTGCCATGTGCTCTGCATACAATAACCAGTGAGCCACAGTCTCTGTTCTCTAGTTGCTCTTTGTGGGAGATACAGACCCACAGGAACATACCATTATAACATGGAGCCCTAAGGGCTGTGATAGGAAGAGTGTAGGAATCTTTGGAAGCTCATAGAAAGAGTTTCTAATCCAGGTTAAAGAGATGAAAATGACAATTTTGGGGAGTAGACATTTCTCCTAAACTGAGATTTTTTTTTCAGAAACATTAAAAACTTTATTTACTTATTTGGCTGTGCTGGGTATTCGTTTCAGCATGTGAGCTCTTTAGCTGTGGCATAGGAAGTCTTGGCTCATGGGATCTACTTCCCTGACGAGGGATCGAACCCAGGTCATTGCGTTGGGAGGGTGGAGTCATGGGCACTGGGCCTCCAGGGAGGTCCCCTAAACCGAGATCCTAAAGATGACTGGGAGTTGGCATGATGAAGGGAAAAGGAAAGAAGCTGGACATATGCAAAAGCCTCTAAGCAGGAGAGAACTGGGGATATTCCGGGAACAAACCAGAGGCTTTAGTGTGTCTGACTTTGATGCATGAGGGGCAGACGGCAAGACCTCAGTTTGGAGAGAGAAGTGTGTGCCTTGCAGGAGACGAGACAGAACAGCAAGCAAGGTACTGTGCATGCCCCTGCACACAGCACCCCCTACGCACCTCTCTAGGCTGACCCGTGGACGCACTGCTGCCTTCCCCCCGGGCAAGGAATGAGCTTGCCCCTTCCCCAGGGAGAGCAGGCAGGGGCCTTTGTTCTCACTCCCCTCTACAGCAGCGGGCCCCAGGAAAGCCTTCCTGAAAGAGAAACAGAGCAGCTGGAACCGATGCATTGCTGTTGAACTGGCTCGCATTGCCTTGAGAGGGCTGACTTTCCATTTTCAGTGAGATGAACACAACTTTGTTGGCTTGGAGCAGGCTGTGGTGGAACTGTTCATATCATGTCGTGTGTGCTTAGTCACTCACCTGTGTCCGCCTCTTCGCGAGCCAGTGGACGGCAGCCCGCCAGGCTCCCCTGTCCATGGCATCTCCAGCCAAGAACACTGGAGTGGGTGTCATTCCCTCCTCCAGGGGGTCTTCCTGACCCAGGAATTGAAGATCCTGCATTGCAGGTGGATCCCTTCCTGCCCAGGGCCAAGTTCCACCCACCAACCCCAGAAAGCCAGTTGTTAAATATTTACCAACACAACAATGAACAAAGACGGACAGGTCACGTACTTACTTGGAATTTGGGAATGTCATTGTAGTCGCAATGCAGAGTGATTTGGAAGGAGTAAAGAGAAGAAGGTTGGTGAGGAGTCTGATACAGTGAACTGAACCATTGGTGAATAGACCAGTGGAAGGAAAGGTATTTACAGTAACATTTGTATTATCATTTTTCATTAATTCTACTTTTCCTATTATAAAGTTCTAAAATATGTTGCAACTTTATTTTAAATATCATATACGAACCAAACCTTGGTGAACAGATTTCAGTGGAAGGAAAGGTATTTATAGTAACATTTGTAGTGTAATTTTTCATTAATTCTACATTTCTTATCATAAAGCTCTAAAATATTTTGCAACTTTGATCTAAAAATCATAGACCAATTTGGTGGGAATTGAAATATTACTAATATTAATCTATTAAATGATATCATTTATATTTTGCTCTTCAGGTCTTATTTTATTCTTTTTGATTATATAATGTTTTCCTTTATCGTGTTCATCTTTACATCTTGCTCTTATTTACATCTACAAATGAAAGCAATTTCATTTCTTTTTTAAAGGTCAGTATAGGGCCTGCCTGGTGGCTCAGCGGTAAAGAATCCGCCTGCCAGCGTAGGAGACGCTGTTTGATCCCTGGTCCGGGACGACCCCACACGCCACAGAGCAACTAAGCCCACGTTTCACAACTACTGAGCCTGTGCTCTAGAGCCTGTGAGCCACCAGCAGTGAGGCCATAAGCCACAACTACTGAAACGCAAGTGCCCGCGCTCTGCAACAAGCAGTCCTCACTCACCGCAGCTGGAGAAACACCTTGCAGTAACAAAGACCCAGCAGAGCCACAATAAATAAAAATGTAAATTATAAGAAAGATCAATATCTGTTCTCACACTTTTTTCTCTCACTGAATTGGCGTGGATAACTTCTGTAACATGGAGAAGGGGAAGAAATTTGCTCTTTGACCTCTATCCTTGTTTGCTCTTGAGCATATGCGCACATGCGTGTGTGTGTGTGTGTGTGTGTGTGTGTCAGAGAGAGAGAGACTGGGATACCTTTGGGAGTGTCAGAAAATACCCTGAAGAGATAGCAATTTTCAATTTGCAATATGTAAATTCGTGCATATTTAAGTGACCTGAGCATTCAGTTTGAGAAAACAATTGTCCAGATGGGATCTGAAAGCAAATTTCTTTGGAGTTTGGGAAAATAAACCGAGTGTATATCAGAGAGAAGAAATTTTGCTTGTCAAAGAGGAAGCCGGATGATGAGTGAGTGAAGAGTGTGGACAGATGTGCCTCCAGAAGGAGGAAACACATGCGGTGGGAAGAATGTTAGCACTGTTATCTCCTTCTTCAGGCAGAGGCATGGTTAAAACTTATCTTGATAATTTTGCCCCCACCAAAAAAAGGCACTTTGGTATATGTTTCAATGTTTGTGTTGTGAAAGATCGAGGAGTGTGTTTACACAAAGACCCAAAGTGAGGGCACAGAAGATGATAAGCATCTCAACAGGGGGAAGGAGCTGGTGAAAACTGGGGTATGAAACCAGTTGAAACTCACAAGATGCATCTCAGTTACTGGTTTTCATTTTGCAAGTTTCTGTTGAAAATTCTCACGAAATAGCCTTGTGTCCAAACACCAAAGATCATCCTCAATCTCTTTCCTCTCTACGTCTCAAGTTTAGTTTCTGATTATTCTCTGGAAACATAATGAAGTATTACAGACTGCTCCCAGAAAGCACCATAAGGAGACATTTATTTAAGGTCTTTTCTAGCAGATATGGTGTGACTTCGCTAAGGGAGATGTGAGAGAATGAAAAATCCTGAGGCTCTATTTAAACTGAAAATAGAGCTACCTTGTGATCCAGCAATCCCACTCCTTGGCATATATCTGGAGAAAATCATAATTTGATAAGATACATGCACCCTAATGTTCATTTCAGCACTATTTACAAGCTCCAGAACGTGGAAGCAGCCTAAACATTCATCAACAGATGACTTGATAAAGAAGCTGTGGTACATATACACAATGGAGTATTAGGTGAAGTCGCTCAGTTGTGCCCGACTCTTTGTGCCCCGTGGACTGTAGCCCACCAGGCTCCTCCGTCCATACTGGAGAGGGTTGCCATTTCCTTCTCCAGGGGATCTTCCTGATCCAGGGATCGAACCCGGGTCTCCCACATTGCAGGCAGATGCTTTAGCCTCTGAGCCACCAGGGATCCAGCCGTCAAAAAGAATGAAGGAACGCCACCTGCAGCAACATGAATGAATCTAGAGAAGGACGGAAATCAGAAGCACTCATATTCGCAAACAGTGCTGCAGCCTTCGATTACCTGTGAAGCCCAGTCCTCTGAGGATAACTGGAGGACTTCTGACATAGGGAAGGCTGACCTGGGTCACAAACAGAGGAAACACCGGGAGAGAAGCGCCGTCTCTTCCTGCCCTGCGGTTCTCTCTCAGTTTCGCAATTCCAACCAAACCCTCTCATTTTGGGGTTCTGTAAATCCTGTCTCAGAAAGAATTATCCTCCAAGAGTCTCAAATCTCCCCAATTCACACTCATCCCAATTCAGTAACCCATTCAATTTTGCTCTTTATGATAACAAGAAAAGCCCCGTTGATCTTAATCAGCCAGGAAACTTATCTTTCTGACCAATGTCTTAAGTATGAAGATAGCTATCCAAGTCATGAGTCACCCATCTTAGCTGACCCTCCGAAGGCTCTGGGAGGGAGCCCACCAAGGCCCACGGTAACATTGTCCTTCATCCCTGGAGAGCTCTGTTAACGGAGAAATGGAGGCGGAAAGTAGGAGCAGGACGGAGCTTGCGCTCCCCACTCCACAAGAGCCCACCAGGTAGGCGCAGGCTGTCATTTTATTTCATTTCTTTCTATTCCCAGTCACTTAATGAACCGGAGATAGTCACAGTGCTGGGGAGATGCCAGATTGTGAACTTGGGCGTGGACCCACTGGGTTTAATTGAAATACCAAGTATAAAGAAGCTGTTTGCTATACTTTCCCAGTAGTTCTCTCTGGTCGATGGGAGAAGAAGGTTTTTATTTAGCCTGTAAGCTGGGAACAGCTCAAGTTTTCTAACAAAAGAGGCTCATATTCTAGGCTTGAAGTAGGGGCTTTGTACCCTCTTGCCTCTGTGCCTGACGTGTGTGAATCTCTGTGAATCTCAAGCTGCGGGGTCCTGCCCCACTGTTTAGAGGGAAATGTTCGCAGGTTGAGATCTGGTGGAGATGTGCATAGTTTACTTTGCCTTTGGATACCGAAGATGAGCACATACGATGTGTGTTAGTCACTCAGTCTGTCCGACTCTTTGTGACCCCATGGACTGTAGCCCGCCAGGCTCCTCTGTCCAAGGGATTCTCCGGGCAAGAACACTGGAGTGGGTTGCCATGCCCTTCTCCAGGGGATCTTCCCGACCCAAGTTTCAAACCCAGGTCTCCTGCACTGCAGGCAGATTCTTTACCATCTGAGCCACCAGGGGAGCCCCAACACATATTAAAACTTTCTTTTTAAAGGTTTTAGGAAAAACTGAAGACAGAGCTTCAGAAATCAGTAACAGATTGAAAGTCATTGCAAAATATTAAGTATACTCCAGTCCTTAGGGAGACATAGCATTGCCGGTGAGCTTCCTCTAAGGACGAAAATAGGAGCAGAGATCAACACACCTGTCAAAGTCGTTCCTTTAAGCACGTGAAATTGAGTATGTCATTGACAACATCTTTTCAGATACATATCTATGCTTAAAAGACTGAGAGCAGTGTAGGTAAACATGTTTGATAGTCTTTACTTATACTCACCAACATAGATTAATGAGAAAGAACCTGGTGATAACTCTGGATTAAGAATGAGAAGGGGCTTCCCTGGTGGCTCAGAGGGTAAAACATCCACTTGCAACCAGGAGACCCGGGCTTGATCCCCGGGTCGAGAAGATCACCTGGAGAGGGGAATGACGACCCACTCCGATATTCTTGCCTAGAGAGTTCCATGGACAGAGGAGCCTGGTGGGCTACATTACAGTCCTGGGGTTGCAAAGAATTGGACATGACTGAGTGATTCGGTACACACAAGCACAAGAATAAGAAGACTTGGTATGGTTTTTCTTCCATCTAACCATGATCAGATAGTGATCCTGGCCACTAACCTGGACCCTCTGAGCCTCCGAGTTTCCTGTACTTTACAGTGAAGATTTTAATTACAGAATTATTTTGAAAAATAAGCAAAATTCCCCTTTCTGTCAGTTGAGACCTTTGCATAGAGACTTAGAGAATTTTCTCACAGCTGCATTTCTGTTCAAACTTCACAGTGCATCTGAAATTGAACTTGCAGAAATATCTCTCCATGAAAGTGTCTTACTGGAAAAGCCTGCCCCAACCGCACCACGCCAAACATGGCTGACTGTTTTGAAGAGAGAGCTGGAATTCCTGGGGGTGAGTGAGCCTCCTCTAACCTCAACTAGAGTAGAGACTGGCTCTAAGAAAGAGTATTTGGTGGCATCAACATAGCTTCCCTACTCAGACTCATGGAGGGAAAAACCTAGTAGAAAATCATTGACACTCACCGCACACTGTTAGGCAGAGTCCTAACAGTGGCTCAGCTGGCAAAGAATCTGCCTGCGGTGCAGGAGACCCAGGTTCAGCCCCTGGATTGGGAGGATTCCCTGGAGAGGGAAATGGCAACCCGCTCCAGTATTCTTACCTGGGAAATCTCGCCAGGAGATCCTGGTGGACTGCAGTCCGTGGGGTTACAAGGGTCAGACACAACTTAGCAACTGATCCACCACCTCCAGGCACCCTGTTGAGTAGAAAGAAGCATTTCCTCATGAAGACTAGGGTTAGACTAGCAAATAGGATCTGCCAACTCTGGTCAGTTGCCAGAGGATCAACATCATCCTGTGAATGATTTATAATCTTTGTCTTCTCATAGATAGAAAGAGCCATTATTGATGTTCACCATGGGTATGTAAATAAAGGCATAGGAGATGGCTATGCTTGCATGACCTCATGGCTATTCTTGCATGGGGTCATGCCAGTATAAATTCTTAGAGTGGCCGGATGATACTGGAAAATACTGCACTTGGATCCTTTTGAGGACTGCCTAAGACACCAAAGCAATTTCTCACATTGGCCTCAATTATAAGGAAATTGATGTAATCTTAGAAAAATACCTTCTGATTCCACAAAATCTATGCATTTTTCTACAGGTAACACAAATTCTGATTGGTTTGATATACCTTTATTTTGGAATAATTGTGAGCTCCGAGATCAATGATTCAGAGTTTATGGAATACTTCTTTTCATCATTTGAAGCTGGCTACCCATTCTGGGGAGCCCTATTTGTGAGTATATGTCTACAGTTGTCTGAAATAATACTGCACATGGCTTTTCTTTTATCCAGAGCGGATCTAACAATTGTTTATTCTAGTGTTGAGAATATATGAGTGTATTCTAATATGTATATGGATATATATAAATATAGATGCATATTTATTTACAAAGCACTTTGGGTTAAATTAGCTAATACATGTTTATGTATTGCTCAAGGGGCATTTAGCTAGTAAGAATCGAACCTAAACTTTCAGAATCCAATTTGAGAAAAATTTCCATAACACCATTCATCAGTAAAGGTATCTTAGCAAAGATGGGGGGAGAGATTGTTGAAATGAGGAGAACAAGGCTGACATTTGATGAACTTCTACTGAGCCCTAGAAACTCTTTTAGGTACTTTCTCATTGTATCTCTTTTAGTCATTGCACTAGTTAGAAACTAGATGGCCGAATGAGCTCATAAAAATATTTAGTTTTTATTGAAGTATAACTGATGTTTAATAAACAGCACCTATTTAAGGTGTATAGTTTGATAAATTTTGACATGACACATGAGACCCTTTCCACATCAATATAATGAAAGTACTCATCACCACCCAAAATTTCCTGTTCCCCCTGGTAACCAACCCCTCCCTCAACCCCGTCCTCCTATCCTTGAGGGATCACTTGTTTTCTGTTGCAATAGATTAGCTTTCATTTTCTGGAGTTTTATTCAAATGGAATGATAACACCATCTTCTCTCTAATGCCTGGCTTCTTGCACTCAGCATTCTTATTTTTGATTAATCCATGTTGTTTTTTACATCAACATTTTCATTCCTGAGGATACATTTTAACCCTAAAAATACTGCATTGGCTTGGCCCTCTGCTAAATACGTAGGTCTCAGGTCACTTGTTCAAAACTCTCCTTAAACTTTTGCTATATTTAATTTGAAATTTCCTTACTGTCTTTTCATTCCAATCATTTAGTTTATTAGATGTCTCTCAACTCACCATACAATCTGAATCTACGAAATGTTTTGAATGTGTGCTCCTGGTTGATAATTTCACTAAATCCTTCACCATGTGTATTTTCATAATGGCTATATGTCCACAAGATATATGTCAGACTCTGGAGACAGACACATGTTTCTTGCCCAGAGGAACTGACACCGTAACACACAAGATGCTCATATGAGCAAATGATCACAATAAAATGAGAGCAGTGTTATAACAGAGTCATGCCCCAGCGGCTGCTGGACTTCACAGCACTTAGCGGTGACCCATGGGCTCTCAGGGTTAGCATTACCTGGCAGCTTGGCAGAATGCAGAATCTCAGACCGCATCTAGGACTTACTGACTGACAATTTGCATTTTAACAAGATAATTCACATGGACATTTAATTTTGAGAAGTTTTCTATAGGAAATTAGAAAAATAAAATAATAAAACTAAAAAATAAAATGGATTAAAGGACATCTTTATAGAATGCCCACAACTTTACCTTCTATTTGGAAGGTGAGGATGAAAGGGACACAGAGAAGAACAGAGACCCACTGTGCTTTTTTCCCCTCCTTCCTTTTGAACAGTTTGCTATTTCTGGAATTTTGTCAATCGTGTCTGAAAAGAAACAGTCAGTATATCTGGTGAGTTGCATTCTGTCTTTATCCTTGAGAAGGTAAGAAAAATTTAATTTTAAGAGTTTTGAAGGAGACATGTTGTTATCTCTTATGAGTGAATGTGGATATGTGATTTTCTTCCAATTTACTTTTGTCTTGGATATAGTCACTAAACATGTAATCATTGAAATACCAATTGTATCACTTAAAAACAATGAATGTATTACGTTGACACTTGTTGAAAAAATACCCTCACACCAGCTATGTCCTCAAACTATAGTCCTGTGATCCAACAAATGATTCATTTCCAATTAAGGAGTCTATTTGATGAGAGACTATGAGTATAGTCTGTATAGTCAAAGCTATGGTTTTCCCAGTAGTCATGTACAGATGTTAGAGTTGGATCCTAAAGAAGGCTGAGCTCTGAAGAACTGATGCTTTTAAACTGTGGTGTTGGAGAAGACTTGAGAGTCCACTGGACAGCTCAGAGATCAAACCAGTCCATCCTAAAGGAAATCAACCCTGAATAATTCATTGGAAGGACTGATGTTGAAGCTGAAGCTCTGGCCACCTGATGTGATGAGTCTACTCATTAAACAAGACCCTAGTGCTGGGAAGGATTGAAGGCAGGAGGAGAAGGGGACAACAGAGGACAAGATGGTTAGACTCAGTGGACATGAATCTGAGCACACTCTGGGAGACAGTGGAAGACAGGGGAGCCTGGAGGGCTGCAGTCCATGGGGTCACAAAGAGGTGGGCGCGGCTCAGCGACTGAAGAGCGGCAACAACAATGTGCGCACTCACGTGGTCTTCCTGCACGCAGTCTCAGAGGGGCCGTTGGAGGTCCTCATCACACAAGTACATTTTCTACATGTCCCTTTGTAATCTATATTTTGAATAAATGGACCTCCCTGCTGGCTCAGATGGTACAGCATCTGCCTGCAATGCAGGAGACCCGGGTTCAATCCCCGGGTCAGGAATATTTCCTGGAGAAGGAAACGGCAACCCACTCCAGTGTTCTTGCCTGGAAAATCCCATGGACAGGGGAGCCTGGCAGGCTACAGTCCATGGGGGTTGCAAAGAGTCGGACACGACTGAACAACTTCACTTTCTTTTCACTTTGCATAAGTGCGGAGTTTATTGGATGTATCCAGCCCTGAAATGCAGGTAGGTTTACTGAACACTGCGGCAGGTGCCGCACCGAGTCTAAATGTTCCTCTTTGTCGTTAGATCCGAGGATGCCAGGGAGCAAACGCCGTCAGCAGTGTCACCGCGGGAGCAGGCATCGGCATCCTCATCAGTAACCTCGAGCAGAGCTCCACTTACCTCTACCGCTGCGAGGAGGTCTATGTGAACGACTACTGCTCTCTGGCCTGCTTCTCCATTGTGGGTATTTCTCGTGGGATGGCTGAGACTCTGGTCCTGATCCAAGTGGGACGCCTTCTTTTCCTTTCCGTGAACACCACCCTTCTGCCACCGCATCATATAATGCAGTGTTCCGGAGGCTCGTGCCCAGGGTCATGCCAGCCTCTTTCCCCCACCTCGACCTGAATCCCGCAAGGGTGGTGCCAGGGGCTTTGAGTAGCCACCTCCTGGTTTTCACATGTGTCATTCTGCAGGAAGTGGCCATGTGCTGAGGAGGGGTGGGTGATGAGCCAGGGGCTGCTGTAAGGGAATGCACTTTCCTACCCTGTAACTCCACCTGTCCTTTGGGTTGTTGTTGGCTGTTGCTCAACAGGAAGTTGTGGCGATAATCCTGTTTCTCACCATCCTGGGCTTTGGCAGCGCTGTGTCACACATAGTTTATGGAATTGGTGAAATAGTTGAAGGAAATCAGGTAGGTGGACCGCCTGATATTAAATCCTAAATGATAAAGGACTTGAGCTTTGTTGCTTAAAAGTATGGCCTGGGTTTCCTGCAACATTGTTTCCAGTTTCAACATTCCATTTCTCCAAGTTTCAGTATTTTGATTTCCAAATCTCATGTTTTGAATGAATTAATTTATTTTAACCTCACTCATTATTAGAGAAATGCAAATCAAAGCCACAATGAGGTATCATCTCCCACCAGTCAGAATGACCATCATCAAAAAGTCAACAAACAATAAATGCTGGAGAGGGTGTGAAGAAATGGGAACCAAATCTCATGTTTTGAATCAAATTTTCCACTCACAAACCTCATAGTATTAATATAATTTGTTTGGCTGAAGTTTAGGAAAGTAAGATCTTCATCATCTTAAGAAATGTAGGTGCTTCAAAGTATAAGCATATGTTGCGCATAAGAGATGAATATACAGGTAGTACATGATAGAAACACTTAAATAGCTGAGCTTTTAAAATTTGTTCCTGCTCTCTTTTTTCTTGGATTTCACCTTCCCACTTGCTCTGAAGCCTGTATTTTGTTTCCTGTCTGAGTCATGACTACCAGCTATGCTTCCACTTGTCTTACCCATTTTTATACCTGTGACCTATGAAAGAGAGTTAGATGCATATACATTGACTCAGATCTTCCAGGTAAAACACTCTCTCCATCTTTCCACTTGCCTGAAGCATTCAAGTCTGCCTGCCTTTTCTGATCACTTTCCTTCAGAGATAAATAAGATAAGAGATGTACTAAATTTCCAATAGAGAATCATCTCAACAACTTCTCGTTGACTGACAATTTATTTGAACCCACTTGGCCAGCCACGCTGGTTTGTTGGAGATGGAAGTATCGCTGCTGTTCTTGTTCAGTCGCTCAGTCATGTCTGACTCTTTGCGACCCCGTGGACTGCAGCATGCCAGGGTTCCCTGTCCTTCACCATCTCCTGGAGCTTGCTCAGACTCATGTCCATTGAGTCGGTGATGCCATCCAACCATCTTATCCTCTGTCGTCCCCTTCTCCTCCTGCCTTCGACCTTTCCCAGTATCAGGGTCTTTCCAATGAGCCTGCTCTTCACATCAGGTAGCTAAAGTATCACAGTGTAATGGCAGGCTGTGAGATACAAAAAGAGATGAGATATGCTTCTTTAAGTATTCTAGGGACAGAAAATTCTTGGTGATGACAATGTTTTTTTCTTCACCTCATCAGATTCCAGAAGATCGTCTTTATGAAGAGGTAAATATATATGCACCGATTTATAGTCAGTTGGAAGAAAGAGAGGAGACAGCTTCTCCTACTGATTCGTAAGACTCATGTGTCCAGAACATCCTGATTCACAGCAAAGAGCTTAGAAAGCCATGATCTCTGTGTAAGAGGCTACTGGCAAAATTTCAGTTCTTTCTATGACTTGACAAGTTTCTATCATGGTTTATTCTCCAGACGGCAATATTCTATTTTTGTTGTTTCTGTTCACTTAAACCCATCCCCCCCTCCATTTGTAGATAAGATAGACTTCTCTATTTCTTGCTTTCTGTTACTGTCTCACACCCATCCCTTCTGGGATGCCCACCTGTAATAAGTAAGCATAACTGCAAATAGGGGAAACAAGAGGAAGACCGGCTGAGAGCTGAGTTAAGGTTAGCAGTTTGATAATATCTGCTCTTAGCCTTTTTCAGAGCTGCAGATGTGTGTGATCTGTGACCACTTTTGGACTGTAAGAACCATGAGGGCAAAGTCCATTAAGCAAACTCATACTGAGAACCAACTAAGCGAAACTGGTCTCACTTGTCTCCTTCACATTGTGTATTCCAGTATTTCATTCATGGTGGGTGCTCAGTGTGGGTGTATGGAGTGTAGGGGTGGAGATTCAGAAAGGGCATACCACCAGGTCGAGTCAGAAGTAGCATAGGAAAGGAGAAATTGTGGAGATGATGAGAAGACCAAATTGACATCAATTAAGAATAGAGTCAGAAAGACTCTGTTAGACGGACGTGTGAATACAGATTCTTTAGGCATGTATTAAGCATTTTGGTGGATACATATCAAATTAGCAATAGATATTTCCTCATTGTGTTTGGTCTTATATGAACAAAGCAACATAGTGTGGTAGAAGGATTGCTGATCTTATAAAGCGCATTGGAATACCAGGCCTATTGGTTATTTGTTGAGCGAGCTGTGGCAAATCATTTGACATTTTACTTAATCAGGGTTTTTTCATTGGTGACATTAAGATATTAGGAATAATTTACCCGTCAGTTCTAAAAGTATGTGTAGAAACACATGCAAACACAGGGTAAACTAGTATACGTGCTGCCAAAGCAAGCACCACAGGATAAACTAAAAGTGCTCTAAGAAAGAAATGATTGTGAAATCAATTCATTCATATTCAGTCATGAATATTCACCCATGTTCACATACAGCAGTCTCCAAATCTTAGCAGTCTCTAATGATATAAAATCTAAGTCCATTTTGTCTCGAAAGTCCCACTTCCTAATCCCGCTTCAACTTGCTCTTTAATATGCACTGTGCTTGACCACCTCATGCCAGCATCCTGGGTTGAAATGTTCTTTCTTCCTTTCTGTTTTTGCTTGTATTTCTTCTTTCTGTAAAGCCTATCTTAAATCCCATCTGATTCTTTAAGTTTTTCTAGTTGATTGCTTTTCTCTCTAGATGATAAGTTTTTCTAATCAAATACACACACACACACACACACACCCCTTACACTCTGTATAATTTTCCACAGGCAAATGTTTCATGTCCCCTCAATAATATATTTTTTCAAAGATACAAAGTCTCATAAAAATCCATATTTTGCCTGAATCAGTAGCACATTCACTGATACGATATTGCTCAAAATTGTTTGCAGACTGATGAATAAGTAGTAGGGAGTTTTGTTAAGTTACTCACTATGCCTGGTGAGATGTAAACCATAAAGGAAAAATCACTTAAAGAAGAATTTGAAATGAAAGAAGAATCAATTAAGACCTGAGCTAAAATGAAGTCAGTGGAAATGAAGAGAAATGATAGTTTCTAAAAAATAGAGAAAGAGTTATTGGTCTTCCCACTAATGAGCTGAATTAAAGAATGAAACCAGAGAGGCAACTGGTTGCTTAACATATTATGCGTTTGAATCTAAGATCAAAGAACATCGGCTAATGTTGAAAGACATAGGAAATGAGAAATACAAATTGACATGTGAGGAGTACAGACAGACCCAGATTAAGTTCAGGTTTAGACTGTCATTTTTAGGAGATTGAAGAGAAACACAGTTTAAGATTGCCTGGTAGTATTCAGGGCAGAGTGCTAGTAAGGATGGATTTTGGTGACAGAGGTTTAGTATTGTTGTAAGAGAGATCAGTATTAAATGAAGAAAATTAACACTCTAAGAGAACTATATTGAGATAAAAGTAAAGCCACGTTAACCTTTACATGCCTGTAACCAGTGGGGACATACACATCACCAGGAGGTGGGGAAAGGAGAGAAAATACCTAGGATAGAAAATAAGAGAATTAGGCAGAAAAATGCATTGTGAAGCTGCAGCCAACAGGTAGCCCAAAGTAGACAGAGGTTAAACAAAGAATAAGTAACTGTCAGGGACCGTATCTGCTGACTTGAGGAAGACAAAAATCAATAGGGATAGATCCAGGTAAGAGGTAGAGATGGGACAGAGAAAATAGCAATAGTGAATGAATGAAATAGGTGCAGAGAAACTCAAAACAGGATTATGGTGAGGCATTAAATAGTAAAACATTTGCAGAAATATTTAGAGAGAGATAATGGGGGTATGTGTGATGTAAGAATGAGAGATGAGATTGTGAATAGAAGATGTTAAAGAAAGACTAAGCTCTCCAAATGAGTTTGTTTCTTTTGACAATTTTATTTTTAAGAGAAGGAAAAAGTAGTTCACACCTTTAGCCTAAATCTTAATAAAAGAGTCCTGTGAAGAGACTGAAGAAATCAGCTGGGGGTATTATTCACAAATTCATTAATGAAATAATTAACTACATTTTATTTATTTGGATTGCCAAAATTAAAAATTGATAAGTAGATGCTAATTTCCCCAGGCTATGAAAGAGATCACATGACCATACAACCAATGATGAAGTCAGTTTTTATGCTTATCTGACCTTAGGAGCCTAGATTTTCTATTTTCATTTTTCCTGAAATTAAAATTTTGTTTCCTCAAACTTACAGCAGCTTAAAAATATACTCTTTTACTGCATAGCTTGCCAAACTGATTCACCATTCTTAATCATTCATAGATATAATCACACACTTTCAAGGAAAAGATGTTCACATCCAAACCTGGCCCACCAGGACCTCTAGCAATGTCTCTGGTCTGTCTTTGTATTGTGTGATATTTTACTCTGCTCTTTCCTCCACTCAGTTAGGATTTCAACCACATACTGACTATGTATTTCTATATATATCACACATTTTTTTTTTGTCTTAAGATCATTCTGATAGTTGTTCTTTATCTTCCTACCTTTTATCATATGCCTACTTTAGGCATACACTGAGCACGCAACTGGAATGCTCTTCACATATTTAGTGTCTCAATTTATCTTTTTTAAAACATCAACTTAAAGGTTATTTTCTCCATTGAGATTGTCTAATGCACATGCATTCATCCAACCTGCTTCATAATCACTTTACCCCATGATGCAATGTATTATCAGTGTACTTTTGATCTCCTTGATGTATCCTTAATCACTGGTATTTGTTCAATAAATCAGAATCATTTAACTTGATTTATCTGTGTGTGTGTGTGTACAGTGGGGAGGAGATTGATTAGGGATAATTGGGAATCAAAACATCAATTCAGTGATGCTAAGGACCAAGAACAGTTTCCAGAGTCCGCATTTTAAATAATGCTTTATCAAATGGGATAATCTGTAAACAACCCCACAGACAGAAAATGGACTAAAACAACAATCATTGGCCTTCTTGCCAATAAATGGTGGGATCAAGTTGAAAGGAACCTGAACTGTGAGTTGCATTTTACAAGTTAGTCCTGACTCCGATTTGTTTTGCTATGGGTCAGTCTTTTCCCTTTGAGGACCTAAGTTTTTCCACCTGACAAAGAGCACTTTGGACCAAAAAGCCCCAGCTGAACTTCCTGCTTCCATATTCCCTGCTTTTAGACAGTTTGGATGGCTGGTGATCATAATTACTAAGCTTGTGACTTGGACAGCAGCCACAATCAGAGCTGTTTAACGCTATTTGGTGTATGATCCATCAAGACATCTGGGACAGCAACATTCATTCTAAACTCCTGGGACAAAAGCTAATCACAGCTCTCTCTTTAAAGACTGTCTCAGAAAAAAATTCTCCCCAGGACTTCCCTGGTGGTCCAGAGGTTAAAATACCCTGCTCCCAGTGTAGGGATTGGGTTCAGTCCCTGCTAAGACAGCTGGATCCCATAGGCTGCAACTAAAGATCCTGCATGCATGCTGAGACCCAGCGCAGCCAAATAATAAATAAATATTACAGGTTTTTTTTCACAAATAATTCTCATTCTGTAAGGCGCAGCTCTACTTATGAAACACTGGTTAAACAGAGTACTGTGTTCATACTTTCAGCTTGATTCAGACCATCGAGGTAAATTTGTATGTACCGGAGTGTGAGAGGTCGTTGGTAGTCACCACCTGTGAGACATGAGTACATCCCTCCCCTGGAAAAACCTCTGCTCACTCCACAAACCGTCAAGAGGGCTCAGCTTAGATCTCCCAAACAACTTCTGTCTGGGAATCCCTGCATAGTGTTATGTTGAACATCACGGAGAAGAGACTGTTTAGAAGGTGAACGCTGCATGAAATATGCTGTCTTATGCTGTGCTAAGTCACCTCTCTTTGAGACCCCGTGGACTGTAGCCCACCAGGCTCCTCTGTCCATGGGATTCTCCAGGCAAGAACACTGGAATGGGTTGCCATGCCTTCCTCCAGGGGATCTTCCCGACCCAGGGATTGAACCCGCATCTTTTACATCTCTTGCATTGGCAGGCAGGTTCTTTGCCATTAGCGCCACCTGGGAAGCCCTGCATGAAATATACCCAGAAGCAAACTGTAGAAGCTACACTAGATGAATACTCAGTGGCTCAGTCTTGTCCAACTCTTTGCAGTCCTTTTGGACTCTAGCCTGCCAGGCTCCTCTGTCCATGGGATTTTCCAGGCAAGAATAAATACTGGAATGGGTTTCCATTTCCTTCTCCAGGGTATCTTTCCAACCCAGGGATCAAACCCAGGTTTCCTGCATTGCAGGTGGATTCTTTACCACCGAGCCACCAAGGAAGCCCATAGACTATTTC